TTTTTTTTTTTTTTTTAACTATAGAGAAAGAACAGTATAAATGGAAGAGAGTAAAGTGCAAAGCCATTGTGAAATACAGCTTTGCTGAGAAAAAAAAATAAGTTTTTCCTCTGAACGCTGATCGTATATTTAAGCGCAAAGTAAACATTGGTTGATGCATTATATGATTTTCTTCCTACACGCTGTCGTACTTTCACAAGTTAATTAGGATAGCTGAATTTTTCGAAAAGACGTAAAGTTCATTACAATCCATTTGTTAGAACCGCTTCCATCGAGTCTCTGCCCACACGATGGACCGAGCAAGAACTCGATTAAAACACACAGTTTTCGTAAGTTTCCCATCAGTTGTTCTTTGGCCATGCGAGCCACTTCACCAATTAAGTTAGGTTTTCATTATTTTTCATGGAACCATGCATATAAATGTATTTATTCTAAGTAAGCTAGTTTTCATTGCATAATTTTCATTGAAGAAATTGCTATGTAGCTACAAAGTTGACAACTTTGAATTTGGGACCCTTTTTGTTTGTGTAGAATTTCCTTTTAAGTTGTCTACACTTGACTTTTCCAGATCACTCACAATTCACAAAGGGATGTGATGTTTGACATGTGAAAAATATCTACATAAATTAAATTATGAGAAGTACCTTAATCAGGTCTTAGTTATCTTTTAATATAATCATAATTACATAAGAAAAACTATACCACACCAAATATAATACTGAATGGGGTGTTATACCGTAATTTAGATTAGCCTTCTTTAATCAGGAATTTCTAGTGCACGAGCATTATTATTATTATTATTATTATTATTATTATTATTATTATTATTATTATTTTTAAATGAATTTTTACCCCCAATTTCAATTCAAGAATTAGGCAGTCACAAACTCACAAATGTAGTATGATTAGTCGTTAGTAGAATTTTGAGCGGATACAAATATCCGCTCAAAATGAGTTTATCTGATTAACTAGGATTAATTTTGAAAAATATAAATGATCAGTTGTTAGTAGGATTTTGAGTTTATATTAAAATAATTTTAAAATAAAATAATTAAAGTTGATTTGATGTAAAAGTAGTAGAGTGATGATTAAAATTGATGGTTAGTTAAAATTACGATAGGCTGATGATAGTGAATTACAATTTATTTGGTAGAATGATTGACTGATATTATTTAATTTTATTGATAATATTGAAGATGGGTGGGGTTTAGTTAAAGCTGAATTAGATTTTGAATATGAACTTAGTATGAATTGAAAAATTTATAAACAAACACCCTCTTAAAATTTATTGAGCAAGATTACAACATTTACAATAACACCAACTCTTAATAGTATATCACACAAGATCACCAACTAATGGCTCTTGAGTCTTGAGTACGAATGAGAGCAGTTCAATATAGTTCAAACAAGAAAAAGAGATGTTTGGAGGGATTACAAGCCAGGAGATTTTATTCAACACACTATGGATTTCCCTTTTGCGACGTGAGCCTCTTCTTCAACTTTCCAAAGTGCACAAACAATACGTTGTTGTCCGGAAGATTTTCCTTAATCGCAGGTTCTTGTTTGAAATCTATGGTCCATTGATGCAGTTTGGGCAGAGCTTTTGGTCCGAAAACATGTAGGCCCCCGAGTTCCTGTATGACCTCCAACCAATGGGCAACCCACACGAACGACAAGTCCACCAGCCCGATTTTGTCACCACCAAAGAATTTGTTGTCTCCCAAAGCTTGGTCTTGAATGATTTTGAGTGTGTCGAGCACTTCTTTTGTCCTCTCCTCTTTGTTTTCATCCGTAGTCACGAGTAACGAAAAAAATGTCCTGTCCTGCACGATGTGATCTTCTCAGATGGCGATTATTTTCTAATTTTCACTCATTTTTTTTTTCCTTAGAGTGATCATGTCGAACCACGGTTCGAAATAACCTTTGATGTCGTGGAATGGTTTACGGTGCTCCAGAAAATGGGAAAGTTGCTACAAATTTATCCTTTAACCCTATGTGGCGCTT